AGGTTTTTTGCTCCAGAGAATACATAGAAGTCAAGACAAAGTAAAACAACTTACCAGATGTTTACAAAGACCGTCCAGACTCCAGTTTTCATGACTGTTAGTCACTTCGTTGGCCAGAGCGGATAAATCTTCCATATTACAACACTTTATGTTATAGTCTCTCAATAATTTCCATTTATCGCTAAAATGAGATGCAAGAAGTTGGTTTTCAATCTAAGTCGTGTTGGCATCCTGTACTAGTTGCCTATGATGAATTTCTTTTAGATTTAGCGACAACAAATGTTATTTTCGTCACCAACGGAGAAGTAGAAATTTACAGCCTTCAGTACAGTAATCATTTAAAAACATGTTGTCATCCAGAGAAAAGTAATTTAAACATTGGGAAATCATATTACATAACATACAGTGTATGTTATGATTAAAGTATGGTGGTCGTCGTGCCGCGTCCTGTTTGATATAGGACTCATAGCGACGTATACAACGCATGTAAAATACATTGTAAGTTTACGTGAAATTTAAACATACGCTTCACGACAACCACCATCCTTCAACACATTTTTTTCTAATATTTATCACATATTTAAATGCTTTGTAAAAACTTTTATTATTCCACATGTGTTGAAACCAAAAACAAGTTATCAAATTTTCCTTGATAAGGTTGTAATAAAGCAATACTGTAAAATACTTTATTTTCGCTTGGAATTAATTTTCGGTATTTTCGCTGAAGGAATGATTCAGTGAAAATAAAATCCAGTGAATATACCTTTTTTCCTATATTTTACATTCAACTCGTCAAAAATCAGTGAAAATAAATTCCATACAAAACACCCAAAACGTCCTTTCAGCAAAAATTAATTCCAGCTAAAATATTTCAAATATAAGTATTTCACAGTACATATTCTATTCTATTCTATTCTATTCTATTCTATTCTATTCTATTCTATTCTATTCTATTCTATTCTATTCTATTCTATTCTTATTTAGCATGATTATCTACTAGAATTTGTTCATACACCTGTTTGCCAAGTGACTACATAATTTGATAATTTGATAATTGGTTGAGAAAAACAATGTTGTTTCTTGTTTTTAAACCATGTCGCTGTCCACTGAAATGACGAGCACATTCTCTGGTTTTGAGATGAAATAGACAATACAAACCCTTGGATACCAACTCCTACTTTCTTCACCTGTTCAGATTCCAGTAAAATCTTGAGACCACCAGGAAACCCTGTAATAATAATAATAATAATAATAATAATAATAATAATAATAATAATGAATTTATTGCATCCTTAGAAATAATTTCCATTGGTTGACAGCAATAAAATGTTAGTAATAAAGTACAATACATATAAAACTAAAGTAAAAGTAAAATGTCAGTTATTGTTATTTCAAATATTTTGTATAAGTATTCATCTGTAAGAAATGCACATAAACCCAAAAATATCACGAGTTGCGTGAAAGACACGCGCCGAACGTCTACCGCAAAAATCGAACGATTTGATTTTGTCAAATTTCTATATTTCATAGCTCACATCAAAAGGTGGGATCTTTAACAGGAGGATATTGCGTTTAAATAC